CAGTGGAGCTAACACACCGTTGATGCTATCTCAACACTTTATCACTGCGGTTCTAAACTCCACTTTGCTCCACCGCAAACATGGCAGTCAATGTGTAACTGAGCTGAGGGGGGGGGCTGAGAGACAAGATGATGCAAGATAGAGGAAGGGTGGGGGGGGGTGAACCAGGTTTTATAGAGTTAAACCGATGGAGGCAGGAGATGAGATGAGGGCTGTTATCTGTCAGAGTAAAACAGCAGAATCTGCCTGCTGCTGGTTTCATAAGAACGTTAACAAGTTTGGGCAAAGTCCTGCAGGGAGACGGCGGTGGAGGATGGGTGATGGCAGCTGAGTGTTAGACGGAGGCCTCCGAGGGGGGGGGGGGGTCATGGAGAAGGTCCATCAATCTCTCTCACACATGAGGGAAGCAGCGAAGCGCTCTCTGCTGACTCCTGTGAGTGTCAGCTTCCTGTTCTGCTCGACAGTTTCAGAAACAGATAAAGAGACATTCTTTCACTTTCTGGATCCAAAGAAGAAAAGCCAGCGTCGCTTTAACTGCGCTTCATGATGCACCTGATTTTAACGCTCTAATTTTAGCATGAAAAACTCTGGCAGCTATTTAAACCGCCAGCAGCCTGAAGCTACGGCTTCAAACCAACGCTGCTTTATTCATCGCATCAATAACCTGCTGCTGAGCTGCTCAGTTCAACCTTAATGCAGCTTTTAGCATGACTTCTAACTAAAGCTAGTTGGTAACTAACTAGATAGTTGTTCAACTAGCTAGCTAATAAGGTAGTTGGCCAACTAGGTAGTAGGCTGATTAGTTTGGTAACTGACTAGGTAGTTGGCTAATTAGATAGTTGGCTTATTCGGTAGTTAGCTAACTAGGTTGTAAACTAACTAAGTAAGGGGTTAGCTAATTAGGTAGGTACCTAACTAGGTAGGTAGCTCATTTGCTTGGTAACTAACTACATAGTTAGCTAATTGGGTAGGTAGGTAATTAGATAGGTAGGTAACTAGGTTGTAAACTAACGAAGTAAGGGGTTAGCTAATTAGGTAGGTACCTAACTAGGTAGGTAGCTCATTTGCTTGGTAACTAATTACGTAGTTAGCTAATTAGGTAACTAACTAGGTAGCTGGCTAACAAAACAGGTAGGTAACTAGGTAGGTAGCTTATTAGGTAGGTAGCTCATTTGCTTGGTAACTAATTATGTAGTTAGCTAATTAGGTAACTAACTAGGTAGCTGGCTAACAAAACAGGTAGGTAACTAGGTAGGTAGCTGATTAGATAGGTAGCTAATTAGGTAGTTACCTAACTAGGTAGGTAGCTCATTTGCTCAATAACTAATTATGTAGCTAATTAGGTAACTAACTAGGTAGCTGGCTAACAAAACAGGTAGATAACTAGGTAGGTAGCTAATTAGATAGGTAGATAACTAGGTAGGTAGCTCATTTGCTTGGTAACTAATTACGTAGTTAGCTAATTAGGTAACTAACTAGGTAGCTGGCTAACAAAACAGGTAGGTAACTAGGTAGGTAGCTTATTAGGTAGGTAGCTCATTTGCTTGGTAACTAATTACGTAGTTAGCTAATTAGGTAGGTAGCTCATTTGCTTGGTAACTAATTATGTAGTTAGCTAATTAGGTAACTAACTAGGTAGCTGGCTAACAAAAAAAGTAGGTAACTAGGTAGGTAGCTGATTAGATAGGTAGCTAATTAGGTAGTTACCTAACTAGGTAGATAGCTCATTTGCTTGATAACTAATTATGTAGCTAATTAGGTAACTAACTAGGTAGCTGGCTAACGAAACAGGTAGGTAACTAGGTAGGTAGCTAATTAGATAGGTAGCTAACTAGGTAGGTAGCTCATGTGGTTGGTAACTAACTAGGTAGTTAGCTAATTAGGTAACTAACTAGGTAGCTGGCTAACAAAACAGGTAGGTAGCTAATTAGATAGGTAGCTAACTAGGTAGGTGGCTCATTTGGTTGGTAACTAACTAGGTAGTTGGCTAATTAGGAACTAACTAGGTAGCTGGCTAAGAAAACGGGTAGGTAACTAGGTAGGTAGCTAATTAGATAGGTAGCTAATTAGGTAGGTAGCTAACTAGTTAGTTAGCTTTTTAGATAAGTAACTAATTACGTAGGTAACTAACTAGGTAGTAAGTTAATTAGATAGGTAGCTCTTTAGGTAGTTAGCTAATTAGGAAGCTACCTAATTAGATAGTTGGCTAATTAATTTGGTAGCTGACTAGGTAGGTAATTAACTACCTAGTTAGCTAATTAGATGGGTAGCTTATGCTAGAGTTTTTAACATTTAGCAGTAGCATAAAAACAGCTAGCCTCAGATTAAATGATTAAACCTAACAACTAGTTTTATTAGTTAGTAAATGTTAGTGAACATAACCTGTGGGGTAGAAACATGATTATTAGACTTCATTTAAAACTGTAGAAATTGAACAAAGATCAGAAGCAGAGAGGAGAAAGATTTTAGCTGTTTGCTAAACAGACTTCAACTAAAACATGAATGAGATTTATGAAAAATAAATAATAGATAAACAGGATTCTCCCTCCAAACTTGTGCTAAAGATCCAGATGTTGTTTATTAGAACGAGTTAAACTGCTAATCTCTGCTCCTGAATCTGGGGACAGAGATTTAGAAAGTTGGATGTTTGTCATTAACTCTGACCTCAAACCAATATGGCCGCTATTCAAATCAAAGGTAATGATAGCAGCCATAAAACGGAGCGTTCCAGCGGTTAGCCTGTGCCTAAAGTACGGATGTAGGAATGGTTTGCTGGAGCGGATTCACAGGGTAGATCTGCATCGCGATGCGGATCTAAAACACAGCGATCGATGTGCAGATGAGGACAGGGAGGCAGTTAGGCCGAGGTAATAAATAGCCAACATATGGTGGCTGGATCCTGTCCTCCCCCACTCTATCTGTGTCACCCATACATCCCTCCGTCCCTCTCCTCCTCCGCTCTAACAGACACCAGATATCCCGCCTCGCCCGACCAGCCTGATATAGAAGATGAAGTTAGTTTTTAGCGAGTCTGAGGCGAAGCCGCGCGGCGCGGCGGCCATTCACACCCTGCTGCTTTTATTCTGGCTGCGCTCACAGAAACCAGAGGATTTATAGGCTTTAGGTGGCAGGAGACTCTCCTCCCCCCACTCAGCTCCATCCATCCCTCCATCGCTTACCGTCTGTCACTGGGTTACATCCTCACACAGGTGCCTCACAGCGGGAGCAAACCTTTGCCCTCCGTTTGGACTGCAGGCTGCGTTTTCAGAGTTTTCCAGATGCTTTGCTAAAACCCCTTAAATCTGCAGATCTTCCTGTCTGTTTATTAGCCTCCTTCTATAAGCTCCTCTGTTCATCTTTTTAATTAATGCTTCACCTCTTTATTTCTGGTCCAGTTTGGGTTCTTTTCTGTGCTGAAAACATGAAGTTTTTCAACTAGAAGTGAGATTTTAAAATCAATTTAGATCCATAAAAGACTTTAGACAGGATGAGCATTGATGCTGCCGCTCAGGTCGTTAGCTTCTGAAAGAGGTTCCCAGACGGACGCGGGTCGGACCTTTCAGCGGCGCTGACCTTTGCAGGGATGTGCAGGAATGCGGGAGCGTCAGCGTTCTGTGTGTGAGATGATGTCTGGAGGCAGATGTAGAAACGTCGGCAGCGTTATTCCCTCCTCTCCTTGGATTTAGGCTCCTTTTTCTGGTCTTTGGTTCTCAGTCCGACGCTGATCTGGGTTCAGTTCAAACTGAGACCAGATCAGGGTTTTATCCTGCAGCTGACGCCACGTTTAGCTCTAATTGTTCCAATATTACCACAAGCAAAGAACATATTCATAAAAAATTTAACAAGGAGAGAAAAAATAAAATAAATAAGAACGAAATAAAATAAAAAAATAAGGGCGGGCCTCAGTGACAGAGTCTATGGAGGCCTTAAAGTCAGGCCTAAAATCATATTTATATGTCAAATGAGTCTAGCTTAAACATGTATATAAATTAGCTCTTTATTGAACCATTTGTCCCAAAAGTTCGCCTATAGTTTGTTTCTTCCTCTATTTGAGTGATAAAAATGACATACTGCAATATTAAAGAAGTCTCAGTTTAAACATAAACTAAACAAACTTCTTTATCTAATAAAACATTAGCAATGGTTGGAAGATGAAGGGATTTTAATCAAAAAGCTTGAATGAAACGCTTGGTTTCTGTTTTTCACGTCTTGTTTCTCCTTTAGCAAAAAGCAAAAACCTGTTTCTGGCGAACAGCTTCCTCCTCCTGCCGCCATCTTTTGCCGTCTGTTAAACAGTGCTGCCTTTCAGCAGCCAATCAGAGCGCTCCGTCTGTGTGACCGTATCAGCGGTCACTGGAACCGATGGATCCAGTTCTGGCGGTTCTCCAGCAGCGATCTCGCGGTTAAACATGTTGGGTTTACTAGAACCTGAACGCATCACACTGGAAAAAATTAAATCTAGATAATACCTTTTTTTTCTTAAAATAAGTGCCTTTTTTTTGAATTGAGGAAAAAATTAACATTTAAAATAAGAAAAAACTATTATATTCTCTTATTTTAAGTGCATTTTATCTATTTATCTTATTTTAAGAGTAAACTAATCTACCTACTCAAATTAAGGGTAAATACACTTAATTTAAGAAAGTTTTACTTATTTCTAGATCATTTTTGCAGTGCAATTAGCAGCTGGTCCACACTGCAAAAAAAAAAAAAAACTATCTAAAAATTAGTAAATACGTCTTAAATTCAGTGTATTTACTCTTATTTTGAAAAGGTAAATCAGATGATCTGCCAAATTTTCTTGTTCCATTGGAAAAATGTCTCTTTTAATTCCTCAATTCAAGATAAAAGATCCTTATTTTAAGAAAAACTGACTAATCTAGATTGGGATTTTCAGAACCGGGTTCTCGGTCAGTTTTAGCTCCAGCAGACCAGAATTCTCGCCTCGTCTGTATTTGAACAGCAGAAGCTAACGTCTGCTGGGTTTGTTCTCTTCCCAGCAGTCATGGAGAAGCTTCAGGAGGAGGAAGGAGCCAGCAGGCAGGTGGACATGGAGGACGGGCTCCTGAAGGAGGAGGCGACGCTCGGCGAGCTGAAAGATACCAGAGACGCCTCCATCACGGAGGAGCCGGACCCGGCGAGGCCGCCGGTGATATCTGCTTCTCCAGCTGCCATCAACGGAGCCAAGGAGGGAGCAGAACCGCTCCAGAACGGAGACCTGTCCTCCATCAACGCCATGATGTCAACGGTGATGTCAGCCGCCGGGACGATCAACGGAGGAGGAGGAAATGAAGGAGAGAGCGGCGTTCCTTCAACCAGCTCCTCGGCTGGACCTTCTCCCAGGTCAGACTGAAGCGGCTCTATGAGCTTTATGTCCTTTTTTAAAACAACATTCTCATTTCTGATCTGATTTTATTTAAATTTTATTTAGAAAAATATAAATGTGTGAATAATATAATACATTTTTTTTAACTTTTGTTTTTATTTTAAAAGCTAGATTTTAATTATGAGACATTTTTTCTACCTGACTGGAATCCTGAAGAGGACCGAGTTTAATCCCTTTGGACCGAAATCGGTTTATGATGATTATTAAGACATCGGCCAAACTAGGGTAGCCTCTGAAAATAAAATGTAATTCTATTTATTCTATTTCTATAGCTCCAATTCACATCATGTCCTCTCAGGTCACTTTCCAGTTCACCAGATCATCCAGTCAGATTGATTCAAAGTTTTCTATCTAAGGAAAACCAGCTGATTGCATCGACTCATTGACTCTTCAGCAATCCCTCACACTAAGCATGCTTGTAGCGACAGTGGAGAGGAACAGGAAGAAACCTCAGAAAGAGAGCAGAACGTTAGAGATTGAACTAACAGATTCTGCAGAGTGGGAGAATAGAGATAGAATGAAGCAGAATGAAGAAAAAGGGGTCCCTATGTCCTCCAGCAGTCTAAGCCTATAGCAGCAGAACTATAGAGATAGCTGAAGTTTTGCTTCCAAAAGGATTTCACTCACAGAAGAAAAGATTTACCGGGTCTTTAGGGTGGAAGGCCAAGAAGTTTACTTTTTAAAAAGTTTGCCACCCTAAGTTTGAAATCTCAGTTTAAACATAAAGTAAGACTTCTAAATAAAAAAACAAACGTTAGCAGTGGTTGGAAGATGGAGGGAGCAGCCATGATGCTCTGACACATCAGCGAACGCATCCAGACAGAAGCTGCTGCTGATGTAAGAAAAACAAAACAAACATCAGTCGGACTATAAATCCCTCCATCTCTGGTTTATATTAGTTTATAATCGAGACCAAAAAAGGTGATTAAACTTCTTAATTAGCCTTTGATCTAATATTTAGAAGGTTTTAATCTGAATCTGTAGTTTGTTTATTTACGGCGTCAGACTTGTTTCTCCTTCAGTTTCTCCTTCAGCCTGTTGGGGAGTTTCTGCCGAGCGGCTCAGAGCGACGAGAAACTGCTGAGTCAGCAGAACTCTGATTAGCCAACAGCTGTTCAATGTTTAAAATTCCTCAAACTGTCTCTTTAAGGCAGGCGGTTAAACCGTCTGCTTTCCCCCCATAAACAATCACTGTAGTGTAACTGATGCAAACGTAACACACTGCCTTGCTTCATCGGGTCGGTGCTGAGGGAATTGAACCTGCACTGAAAAAATTTATTCTAGATGAGTCATTTTTTTCTTTAAATAGGTGCATTTGTTCTTGAATTGAAGAGATAAAACATTTATCCAATGGAAAAAGACAATTTACATTTAAAATAAAAGAAAAAAACTATTATTTCAAGTGCATATTATCTATTTATCTTATTTTAAGAGTAAAAATACTCATTCTATTGCAAACTTTCTACTTTACCTTTTCAAATTAATGGTAAATACGCTTAATTTAAGACATATTTACTTATTTCTAAATAGTTTTTCCAGAGCAGGAAGACAAACCGAACCGTTTCAGATCAAAAACCGACCAGATGTGGGATAAAGTTGCTCCACGGGTTTGAACATCTCTGGGTTTATCAGAGTCAGCATCTATGTAACGTAGTTCTGTGTCTCTGTGCGCAGCCCCTCACCCAGCAAGTCTCTGACGGCCGCCATGAGAGCCCCGCCAGGTCGCAACGCTCGACGCAACCAGGTAGGAAACGCCGCCTCGCCGCCGTGCTGCTTTCCTCCTTTCCCATCATGCACTGGGGCATTCCTGCTCCTGTCAGGGCTTCCTGTGCCTCAAACAGGAAATAGGAAGTTCTGCCTCCTGAGCCGAGGATGTGTGTGTGTGTGTGTGTGTGTGTGTGTGAAGGTTTCTCCTCAGCGGGGGGGGGCGTGTCCTCTAGATGTCGTTGTGGTTCGGCTCCTCAGGTTCTGTCTGATCAGAAAATGATCACTTCCTGCCCCAGAATGCTCCCCCTGTCCCACTTCCTGCCCCTCAGTGCTAGAGGAGCTATTTTTCTGACCAATCAGAGCCCAGCGAGCAGAGAGACGACCCCACATGCCCTTTCTGTCCACCCCGGACCTGGAGGACGCCTCCAGAAGGTCTGACTATAAAAGTGATGCTGTGGGCTGTGCCTTTGACTCTGCTAAATGAAAAAAAGGAGGGAATCACCATGGCAACGAGCTGCTTCTCTGTGGAATCAATCTCCTGCCGGAGGAAGATCTTTCTCTGTCTCACGCCGCGGTTTTAATGTCTCCTCAGGACACCAAAGACGACAGCTTGGCCTTCATCTGCCCGCTGTGCGACAAGAACTGCCAGACGCAGCACCAGCTGACCATGCACATCCGACAGGTAAGCCCCACCCCCCCACACCGCGCGCCGCAGCCGAGCCGAAACAACACCTGAGCTGTCGTTCTCCCGCAGCACAACGCCGACACCGGCGCCACCGATCACTCCTGCAGCATCTGCGGGAAGTGCCTGAGCTCGGCCTCGTCGCTGGACCGACACATGCTGGTCCACAGCGGGGAGAGGCCGTACAAATGCACCATCTGCGGACAGACGTTCACCACCAACGGCAACATGCACAGGTGACCCACAGCGCACACACACAGCCTCCGGGTCGTTTAGTTCTCTGATACGATCCACTGCGACCTGAAGTCCACATCCAATGGTTAAGGTGGTTAAGCTAGGCACTTCTACTCCATCATCATCTGGTACGCTGATTCCACCGCCAGGGACAAGACTGCAGGCGTGGGGGGGGGGTGCACAGGAAGTAAGGCGAGATTTTAGATCCACTCTCCCCCATCAAACACCCACCCAGAGCTCCACCCAGTCATTTATCAGTGAGGCCCAGACTGCGCTGCTCATTAACAGACGTTTCAGTCAAACACGGGTCCAACTGGAAGAGTGAAACCAAAAGTTTTTAGAGTCAGAGAAAGAGAGATGGATCCATGCTCCGTCCCTCTTCCTCCGTCTGCTGCTGCGGCATGAAGAGCCGTGGGCAGGAAGGAATGACTGGAGGCCGACGCAAACACAACCAGCCCATTTATTCTTCTGCTCTCTGGCTTCAAGAAAATAGAGCTGCTCTGTGTCCACGATCTGTCTCATCTTTAGTTTTTCTTTTCATCTCTGAGTTTCAGCTTTATTACCAAAGAGTCTGGATCCTTTAAAGTTGTAGGGAAATCATATTTAGATGTCAAATCATTCAGGCTAAAACATGTGTATAAATGTAAAAATTTAGAAAATTTCTATTTTTAACAAGAATCCTGTCTTAAAATCTGTGTTTTTTCCGTTATCTTCTGCAGGCCAGTTAGTTCTACGTCAGCCTGAACACCTAAATTCGGCCAATCATATATCAACGGTCATCTGTCAATCAAATGTTTTCGGTCATAGCATCTTGATTCATGTGTCGCAGCTAATATACGCAACGGTTGAAACCAGAATCCTTTCCTTTCCCATTGAGTTGCGTCCCAGTGTTCACGGGGATGGACGTCTGTGTCTTCGGCAGGCGTAGAGCTAACAGAACTGGCAGCGTTGCGAGGCAAGGGCTCAAACATGTACGGCTGGAAGCCTTCTACACCAAACCAAGCTTCTGCCGCCCTGGCGTCCTCTTCCACAACATCTTCGTCCCCGCTTTCCTCCTCTAAATAAAAAATGGATGACGGAGGAGACTCATCCACGACCTCCGACACTAAACTCTCCTCCTCTTGCATGTTTCCGCTGTCCATAGCGTTCCTTGACAGCGTCGTTTCTAAGTCACCAATTTAGTGCTACTTGGTCCCAATGGAATTTCCCATTGGGAACCTGCTAGCACTCAGTTGCTAACTGGTTAGCAACTTAGTGCTACTTGGTCCCAATGGAATTTCCCATTGGGAACCTGCTAGCACTAAGTTGCTAACTGGTTAGCAACTTAGTGCTTCTTGGTCCCAATGGAATTTCCCATTGGGAACCTGCTAGCACTAAGTTGCTAACTGGTTAGCAAGATGCTTCCGACAAACCGGCCACAACCAAACATGCTTGTGAACCTTCCGCCACAACAATCCCGCCCCCTTGATAATCGACCAATCACATTCACTGTATTCACTCGTGTAAAGTCGGGCACCACTCGGGAAAATTCGGAAATGCAACGTTTGGAACAGCTGCTTCTCTACGACTTTAAGTACAACAGAGACAGCTGTGACGCTTAACTTAATTCTGCTTGTGCATCGTTCAATTTACCGTATTTCCCGGACTATAAGCTGCTACTTTTTTCCCACGCTTTGAACCATGCGGCTTATAAGAAGCTGCATGGTTTTCTAACCGCCAGAGGTGGAAGTCAAAGAATGAGTGGCTAATTTTCATTTAGCACAAGAACATGCTAGCATTAGGCACGACGGAGAATAAATGTCACAAATTCCCACATTTTGACATTTATTTGCTGCATTAAAGCTGCTGAACCAATGAAGAGACTGAGCTCAACTCCTGCAGAGCTGAAATAAAGAGCTGATGAAGCTCTATCTTTCAGTAGAAGCTGTTACTTCTGCAAGCTAACAAGCTAACGGGAGCTAGCATTCTCCTTCTTCCCTACACCGGGGGCTATAAGTAGAGCTCCCCCTATAGGTTTGGTGGAGACAGTTCAGTAGATATTAGCAGCTTATAGCCCAATGCTGCTTATAGATGTACGTTTCCAGTTTTTTCAAATAATTGATAAATAATCTCTTTACCGTTTATGATGGTTTTTGTAAAGTCTTACCAATTAATGATTAAACAAAAAGATCAACCAGACCTCAAACAAGATGAATGAGATGCAGAGACCTTAAAGGAGCCCACAGAAACGTAGCAACAAGACGTATAGCAGCTGAACAAAGATAGGTCACTCGTACATCTATAGAGCTGCATCTAGTTAGAAAAAACAGAATCTTAATCGGTTAACCTACAAGTTGCAAAGACAGACAGACTGAAACCACTAGAAGTAGCAAGAAAGAAAATAGACAAGTTTGTAACTTATTGATCTCTTCTTCTCTGCAAATGGGTCTAATTTATAAACACTTAATGAAACAGCTAGTGGTGTTTATAAATGCTGTTTATGGTTAAAACTGGCTAATTTGATCTGATGCTGCAGGAGTGATCGGCGGCGCTGTTAACAATAGTCCACAAGTTTTACGCAAGCTGTTTTAGTCTGGATTTATAAACACCAGTAGAAACAACAGGTGGTGTTTATAAAGGCTGTTTACAGTACAGACTGGCTTTTCTAATATCTGATGTTATAAACAGCTGCAAACGGATTACACAAACTGTTTCAGTCTGGATTTATAAACTCAGTTAGAAACAACTGGTGGTGTTTATAAAGGCTGTTTACAGTACAGACTGGCTTTTCTAATATCTGATGTTATAAACAGCGGGAAACGGATTACACAAGCCGTTTCAGTCTGGATTTATAAACTCAGTTAGAAACAACTGGTGGTGTTTTGTCTATAGTTCAAACTGGCTGTTCTACGCTCTGATCAGGAGTTATAAACAGTCGTCCACATAGTTTAGATGGACAGTTCAGTCTGGATTTATAAAGTGAAACAACAGATGGTGTTTATAAAGGCTGTTTACAGTACAGACTGGCTTTTCTAATATCTGATGTTATAAACAGCTGCAAACGGATTACACAAACCATTTCAGTCTGGATTTATAAACTCAATTAGAAACAACTGGTGGTGTTTTGTCTATAGTTCAAACTGGCTGTTCTACGCTCTGATCAGGAGTTATAAACAGTCCACTGCGTATAATCAGACAGTGAATTTAGAACCAACTAGTGGTGTGTATAAATGCTTTCTGTGGCTCGTAATGGCTTTTCCTGATCTGGAGTTATAAACAACATCCTACAGGTTTTTCCATCGGTAACTTTATTCTGCATTTATAAACTCCAGTTGGAGTGGTAAAACAGTCAGCTTATAGAACGGTGACTGTGAACGCAGCTCGGTGTGCGGCTTGGTCTGGACTCAGAACTAAAGCTAAACAAACAGGAACCGGTTTGGTGGGAAAAAGCATCAGAGAGGAGATGATGCAGCAACGTGATGCAAAGCAACAGGTTAGATGTCTGGAGATGTGCAGACATGTTCTAGTAAAGCATTTCTTTTCTTCACTCAGCACCAAGGGGCTGATGGGTAATGTAGTTTGAGAGGCTCCCCTGGTGCTGCTTCAGGTCGAGCAGAGAGCCGGTTTTTCCGGTCCGATCCGATCCAGACTTTTCTGAAACTCATTTCCAATGCAAACTGCAGACGGAGCTGGGGGAGGGGGGGGGGGGGGGGGGGGGGGGGAGCGAAGATGAGGAACAGCATCCTTTGAGATTTGAGGGCCTCCTCAGGAGAAGATATGAAACGGCTCATTTAGTTTTAATGTTTGAACAGAGCTGAGGTGAAAACTGAGACCAGAGGAAGATTTTCCCTTAATATAAATTCCTCCTTTTCCTTCCATCTTGTGTAATCCTCCTCCTCCTCCTCCTCCCTCCTTTCTTTGTCTTAGCTTCTTCTCCTTTTTTCCCTTTTCTGTCCTGTGGGCCTTTTTAACCCCTTTCTTCCCTGGGACTCCTGCACTCTTCATTTTATTTTATTCTTTATTTTTTCCTTTCCTGCTGTTTTTTTTTTCCTCCTCCTTGTTTCCTCTTTAAGTTTCTCCTTCATCAAACTCCTCTTCCCTTGCTTCCATCCCTCCTCCTCCTCCTCTCAGCAGCTGTCTGCTCTCTCCCTCTGCTCTGTATCTGTTTCTGCTGACTCTGCAGGCTGGCCCGTCTTTGATTGGACGCTTGTTGGGTCACGGGTTCGTCTGCTGCAGACCTCGCTCTCTCATTGGCCCACTGCTTCCCTGAGTTTTGATTGGTTAATGAGCCGCTTCCTGTCAGCTGCTCCCAGATCTGCTGACTGGCTGTCAGGACCTCTTATGGTTGTCCAGCGGCTGCCTGAGGCCTCTATTAATAGATGACACCTTGAAGCAGCACCTCCTGATGTCACCTTTTGACTCCTTATTCTCTTTGACCCAGATCTCCTTCCTCTTGTTTTCTATAAAATCATCCTCCTGCTTTACAACCTCCCTCCTCTCTGCGTCTCCTCCTGTCCTTTCTTTCTTCATCCATCTTATCTATTGTTTACACATTTTCCTCCTCAGCCTCCTTTTTATCATCTCCTCCTTGTTCTCTGTCTGTTTTTTTTAATGTCATCTATTGCTCCATCTGTCCCCACCTCCTTACTCCCTCTGATGCCTCCTTTCTTCCTTTGATGCCTCCTTACTCCCTTTGATGCCTCCTTTCTCCCTTTGATGCCTCCTTTCTCCCTTTGATGCCTCCTTACTCCCTTTGATGCCTCCTTTCTCCCTTTGATGCCTCCTTACTCCCTTTGATGCCTCCTTTCTCCCTTTGATGCCTCCTTACTCCCTTTGATGCCTCCTTTCTCCCTTTGATGCCTCCTTTCTTCCTTTGATGCCTCCTTACTCCCTTTGATGCCTCCTTTCTCCCTTTGATGCCTCCTTACTCCCTTTGATGCCTCCTTACTCCCTTTGATGCCTCCTTTCTCCCTTTGATGCCTCCTTACTCCCTTTGATGCCTCCTTTCTCCCTTTGATGCCTCCTTTCTCCCTTTGATGCCTCCTTACTCCCTTTGATGCCTCCTTACTCCCTTTGATGCCTCCTTTCTCCCTTTGATGCCTCCTTACTCCCTTTGATGCCTCCTTACTCCCTTTGATGCCTCCCTACTCCCTTTGATGCCTCCTTACTCCCTCTGATGCCTCCTTTCTTCCTTTGATGCCTCCTTACTCCCTTTGATGCCTCCTTACTCCCTCTGATGCCTTCTTACTCCCTCTGATACCTCCTCACTCCTTCTGATGAACTCCTTTCTCCCTCTGATGCCTCCTTTCTTCCTTTGATGCCTCCTTACTCCCTTTGATGTCTCCTTACTGCCTCCGATGCCTCCTTACTGCCTCCGATGCCTCCTTACTGCCTCCGATGCCTCCTTTCTCCCTCTGACGTCTCCTTACTCCCTCTGACGTCTCCTTACTCCCTCTGATGCCTCCTTTCTCCCTTTGATGCCTCCTTACTCCCTTTGATGCCTCCTTTCTCCCTTTGATGCCTCCTTACTCCCTTTGATGCCTCCTTTCTCCCTTTGATGCCTCCTTTCTTCCTTTGATGCCTCCTTACTCCCTTTGATGCCTCCTTTCTCCCTTTGATGCCTCCTTACTCCCTTTGATGCCTCCTTTCTCCCTTTGATGCCTCCTTACTCCCTTTGATGCCTCCTTTCTCCCTTTGATGCCTCCTTACTCCCTTTGATGCCTCCTTTCTCCCTTTGATGCCTCCTTTCTTCCTTTGATGCCTCCTTACTCCCTTTGATGCCTCCTTTCTCCCTTTGATGCCTCCTTACTCCCTTTGATGCCTCCTTTCTCCCTTTGATGCCTCCTTTCTCCCTTTGATGCCTCCTTTCTCCCTTTGATGCCTCCTTACTCCCTTTGATGCCTCCTTACTCCCTTTGATGCCTCCTTTCTCCCTTTGATGCCTCCTTACTCCCTTTGATGCCTCCTTACTCCCTTTGATGCCTCCTTACTCCCTTTGATGCCTCCTTACTCCCTCTGATGCCTCCTTTCTTCCTTTGATGCCTCCTTACTCCCTTTGATGCCTCCTTACTCCCTCTGATGCCTTCTTACTCCCTCTGATACCTCCTCACTCCTTCTGATGAACTCCTTTCTCCCTCTGATGCCTCCTTACTCCCTTTGATGTCTCCTTACTGCCTCCGATGCCTCCTTACTGCCTCCGATGCCTCCTTACTGCCTCCGATGCCTCCTTTCTCCCTCTGACGTCTCCTTACTCCCTCTGACGTCTCCTTACTCCCTCTGACGTCTCCTTACTCCCTCTGATGTCTCCTGTCTGCCTCCGTTGCCTCCTTTCTTCCTCCGATGTCTCCTTTTTCCCTCTGTCGTCTCCTTTTTTCCTTCTGATGCCTCCTTACTCCCTCTGATGCCTCCTTATACCCTCTGATGTCTCCTTTCTCCCTCCGATGCTTCCTTTCTCCCTCCGATGCTTCCTTTCTCCCTCTGACGTCTCCTTTCTCCCTCCGATGCTTCCTTTCTCCCTCTGATGCTTCCTTTCTCCCTCTAATGCTTCCTTTCTCCCTCCGATGCTTCCTTTCTCCCTCTGACGTCTCCTTACTCCCTCTGACGTCTCCTTTCTCCCTCCGATGCTTCCTTTCTCCCTCCGATGCTTCCTTTCTCCCTCCGATGCTTCCTTACTGCCTCCGATGCCTCCTTACTGCCTCCGATGCCTCCTTTCTCCCTCTGACGTCTCCTTACTCCCTCTGACGTCTCCTTTCTCCCTCTAATGCTTCCTTTCTCCCTCCGATGCTTCCTTTCTCCCTCCGATGCTTCTTTTCTCCCTCTGACGTCTCCTTTCTCCCTCTGAAGTCTCCTTTCTCCCTTTGATGCCTCCTTTCTCCCTTTGATGCCTCCTTTCTCCCTTTGATGCCTCCTTACTCCCTTTGATGCCTCCTTACTCCCTTTGATGCCTCCTTTCTCCCTTTGATGCCTCCTTACTCCCTTTGATGCCTCCTTACTCCCTTTGATGCCTCCTTACTCCCTTTGATGCCTCCTTACTCCCTCTGATGCCTCCTTTCTTCCTTTGATGCCTCCTTACTCCCTTTGATGCCTCCTTACTCCCTCTGATGCCTTCTTACTCCCTCTGATACCTCCTCACTCCTTCTGATGAACTCCTTTCTCCCTCTGATGCCTCCTTTCTTCCTTTGATGCCTCCTTACTCCCTTTGATGTCTCCTTACTGCCTCCGATGCCTCCTTACTGCCTCCGATGCCTCCTTACTGCCTCAGATGCCTCCTTTCTCCCTCTGACGTCTCCTTACTCCCTCTGACGTCTCCTTACTCCCTCTGATGCCTCCTTTCTCCCTTTGATGCCTCCTTACTCCCTTTGATGCCTCCTTTCTCCCTTTGATGCCTCCTTACTCCCTTTGATGCCTCCTTTCTCCCTTTGATGCCTCCTTTCTTCCTTTGATGCCTCCTTACTCCCTTTGATGCCTCCTTTCTCCCTTTGATGCCTCCTTACTCCCTTTGATGCCTCCTTTCTCCCTTTGATGCCTCCTTACTCCCTTTGATGCCTCCTTTCTCCCTTTGATGCCTCCTTACTCCCTTTGATGCCTCCTTTCTCCCTTTGATGCCTCCTTTCTTCCTTTGATGCCTCCTTACTCCCTTTGATGCCTCCTTTCTCCCTTTGATGCCTCCTTACTCCCTTTGATGCCTCCTTTCTCCCTTTGATGCCTCCTTTCTCCCTTTGATGCCTCCTTACTCCCTTTGATGCCTCCTTTCTCCCTTTGATGCCTCCTTACTCCCTTTGATGCCTCCTTTCTCCCTTTGATGCCTCCTTTCTTCCTTTGATGCCTCCTTACTCCCTTTGATGCCTCCTTTCTCCCTTTGATGCCTCCTTACTCCCTTTGATGCCTCCTTTCTCCCTTTGATGCCTCCTTACTCCCTTTGATGCCTCCTTTCTCCCTTTGATGCCTCCTTACTCCCTTTGATGCCTCCTTTCTCCCTTTGATGCCTCCTTTCTTCCTTTGATGCCTCCTTACTCCCTTTGATGCCTCCTTTCTCCCTTTGATGCCTCCTTACTCCCTTTGATGCCTCCTTTCTCCCTTTGATGCCTCCTTACTCCCTTTGATGCCTCCTTTCTCCCTTTGATGCCTCCTTTCTCCCTTTGATGCCTCCTTACTCCCTTTGATGCCTCCTTACTCCCTTTGATGCCTCCTTTCTCCCTTTGATGCCTCCTTACTCCCTTTGATGCCTCCTTACTCCCTTTGATGCCTCCTTACTCCCTCTGATGCCTCCTTTCTTCCTTTGATGCCTCCTTACTCCCTTTGATGCCTCCTTACTCCCTCTGATGCCTTCTTACTCCCTCTGATACCTCCTCACTCCTTCTGATGAACTCCTTTCTCCCTCTGATGCCTCCTTACTCCCTTTGATGTCTCCTTACTGCCTCCGATGCCTCCTTACTGCCTCCGATGCCTCCTTACTGCCTCCGATGCCTCCTTTCTCCCTCTGACGTCTCCTTACTCCCTCTGACGTCTCCTTACTCCCTCTGACGTCTCCTTACTCCCTCTGATGTCTCCTGTCTGCCTCCGTTGCCTCCTTTCTTCCTCCGATGTCTCCTTTTTCCCTCTGTCGTCTCCTTTTTTCCTTCTGATGCCTCCTTACTCCCTCTGATGCCTCCTTATACCCTCTGATGTCTCCTTTCTCCCTCCGATGCTTCCTTTCTCCCTCCGATGCTTCCTTTCTCCCTCCGATGCTTCCTTTCTCCCTCTGACGTCTCCTTTCTCCCTCCGATGCTTCCTTTCTCCCTCTGATGCTTCCTTTCTCCCTCTAATGCTTCCTTTCTCCCTCCGATGCTTCCTTTCTCCCTCCGATGCTTCTTTTCTCCCTCTGACGTCTCCTTTCTCCCTCTGAAGTCTCCTTTCTCCCTCTGAAGTCTCCTTTCTCCCTCTGACGTCTCCTTTCTCCCCCTCATGTCTCACACAGTCTCAGTTTTCAGGGTCAGACTAAGTTGGACCGTAATGTTTTCCCAGAATCCCTTGGATCTGACCGGTTTCTTCATCTCTCCTCCTCTTCAGGCACATGAAGATCCACGACAAGGACCCGAACGGTCTGATCCCCCTCAGCAGCCCTCCCTCCCCGACCAAACGCCGCCGTCCTTCCATGAAGCGGCGGCAGGGCCTGGAGGAGGAGCTCGGAGACGAGCCGCCCAGTAAGAAGGTAACCGGTTCTTCCCGCTCTGGGTTCCATCTGGCCCGTGTTCCTCAGAGAACTAGAACGGCTCGGTTCTGTGTCCAGGTGATGGAGGATGCGGCGGCGGACGAGTTCATGGCGGTCCACGGCTCCGAGGAGGAGCTGCTGCCATGTCCCATCTGCTTTAAGACCTGCAGCTCCAGACTGGACCTGGACGCTCACATGGACACTCATCCAGACACCATGCTCAGGTACACGACCTGAACTCACCCATCTCAGCCAATCGGAGACACCGAGGTCAGTTTGTTCCTGCGGGAAAATAAAGCAGGAAGCAATGGAGGAAAGATCAAAGTGGAAAATTAGAAAACATTATGAGGAGAAAACATGAAGGACAGGAGGGAAGGAATGAGGTCAGCAGGCGGCGCTGAGCTCGTTATGGAGGAAGGAGAATACTTAGAGGTAAATCCTCCTTAATCAGCCGGTAAGAGGATAGACTGCACTGCAGGGAGAGGAGAGGAGAGGAGGAGGAGAGGAGAGGAGGAGGAGAGGAGAGGAGAGAGGAGGAGAGAGGAGAGGAGAGAGGAGAGGAGAGAGGAGGAGAGTAGAGGAGAGGGTAGAGGAGAGAGGAGAGGAGAGGAGAGGAGGAAGAGAGGAGAGGACGAGGAGAGGAGAGGAGAGAGGAGAGGAGGAGAGGAGAGGAGAGGAGGAAGAGAGGAGAGGAGAGGAGAGAGGAGAGGAGAGGAGGAAGAGAGGAGAGGAAAGGAGGAGGAGAGGAGAGGAGGAAGAGAGGAGAGGAGGAAGAGAGGAGAGGAGGAGAGGAGAGGAGAAAGAGAAAGGAAAGTTAGTTTGATGGAAGAACTCAGACAGCTGACAGGTAATTTCTATAGCGCCAATTCACAACACATCTCAGGGCACTTTGATGCTTGTAGCGACAGTGGAGAGGAAAAACTCCCTTTGAACAGGAAGAAACGTCCAGTAGAACCAGGCTCAGTGTGAGCGGCCATCTGCTGAGGCCCACTGGGGTTCAAGGAAACAGAAGCAGACATAGAAAAAGAAGCATAGATACAAAAGGCAACTGTCAACCAGCTCCACAGGCGGCCCCGTCCAGGAAACACACAGCCAGGCAGACGAGCTCCGAGCCAGCTCCCATGTCAGAGGATGAAGAGAGCACATCCAGTTAGTCACAGTCAGAGAAACAGGACTACACTGGAAAACAGGCCAAGCTCCAACATCTAGAAACAAAGGTGTTGATGGCAGCAGCACAGCTGATATTTCTCTCCAGGATGGAGTCACAGCCAAACAGGAACAGACCAGATGAAGCTACTATGAGAAAAAGCAGAGAGAGCAGAACGTTAGAGATTGAACTAACAGATTCTGCAGAGTGGGAGAATAGAGATAGAATGAAGCAGAATGATGAAAAAGGGGTCCCTATGTCCTCCAGCAGTCTAAGCCTATAGCAGCAGAACTATAGAGATAGATCACCTGAGCGTCTCCTTTGATCTCCTCTACAGGTGTGATCTCTGCTGCCTTTCGTTCAGAACCCACCGCGGCCTGCTGCGCCACAATGCTGGCGTCCATAAGCTCCTCCCCCAGGACCCCAGCGGTCGTCCCTTCATCCAGAACAACCCCTCCATCCCCACCGGCTTCAACGACCTCGCCTTCATCGACTTTTCCTGCAAGAAGTTTGCTCACATCGCTCAGGTAGAGCCCCACCCACCCCTCGCCGCCATCGGCGTCGCTGCTCTGAACCGTCAGGTCTCTGACCCGTCCGTCTGTCCCTCCAGGTCTGGTGTGAGTCCAACCTGCGGCGCTGCATCAGTAAGTTCCACCGTTTTGTCTGCGACTCCTGCGATAAGGCCTTCCCTCTGCGCTCCGCCCTGGACCTCCATAGAACCGTCTCCCACGCGGAGAAACCCGCTGCTGAGGTCGAGGACAGAGTGAAGGCCAACGGAGGGAGGCGGGCCGAGGAAGCTCAGGACGCTGGAGCTGGACCCCCAGCATCAGAGCAGTCCAGTTTCCTGGAGGGTCTGGGCCTGCAGCACGTCTCTAAGGTGGGCTGCTCCTCCTCCTGCTCCTGCTCCTCCTGCTCCTCCTCCTGCTCCTGCTCCTCCTCCTGCTCCTGCTCCTCCTCCTGCTCCTGCTCCTCCTCCTGCTCCTCTCCTGATCCTTGTTCTGTTGGACTTCCAGGTGAAGCTCGGTCCGACGGACGACGAGATCCATCAGGCCCACCTGGACAGCATCAAGGTGATCCACGTGGAGCCGCTGTCCTTCAGCCTCCCCCAGGAGCCGGCCGCCGCCTTCCTGTCCGGGGGCCTGGGGGTGACGCTGGGCCTGGGGGTGGGGGGGCTGGCCGCCCTCAGCATCCCGCTGCTGGAGGCGTCCAGCTCCGCCCTGCAGGGCCTGTCGCAGCGGGACGCCCTCAACCTGCTGTCCCTGCAGCCTTTCCAGGCGGGCTTCCTGCTGCAGCCGGAGGGGGGCGCCGCCACGGGCAGCGGCGCCTTGTCCAGCTGTAAGCCGGGGGAGTCCGGCGCCACCAGCGTGATGGAGCTGGCCGACATCCAGCAGATCCTGAAGGTGGCGGCCGCGGCGCCCAACCATATGGGGCTTCCTCCTCTGGCCAAGGCTCCGGGTTTCTCTGGTGAGTGTCCCCCGGTCCCCCCGTCCCCCGGTTCTCCGGGCCCCCGGTTCTGGACGCTTTGTCTTCATCCTGTCTCCTCCTCCAGGTCAGCTCCCGGGTCAGAAGGCCATGCCGCCGCTGAAGCCCAAACCTCCCATCAGCCCTCGCTGCAGCCTCAGTGCCACCACCCCTCCCCCCCCTGCAGAGCTCCCAGCAGGCCTCACTGGGCTGCATCAGCCCCAGCCTGCCCCCCCCAACGCCCTCCCTCTTCAAGTCGCCATCCTCGGCGGGGGACGGCCCCCACATGGAAGCAGAGTCGCCGGGCGATGGCAAAACGGCGCTGTCGGACTCGCCGCCGGCTGCCGCCACGGTGGTCCAGGAGGAGGCGGGGCTAAACGTCCGGAAGGCGGGAGGCAAAGCCGGGCCCGCCGCCGCCAAAGGGACGTTCCCCTGCCGCTTCTGCGACCAGGTGTTCCCTCTGTCTGGCGCCCTGCAGGCCCACATGCGCTTCCACCTGGGCATCCTGCCCCACCAGTGCAACATGTGTGACTACGTGGCGCCGGACAAGGCCACGCTGATCCGCCACCTGCGCACGCACAGCGGCGAGCGGCCCTACGTCTGCCGCATGTGCCACTACCCCTTCACCGTCAAGGCCAACTGCGAGCGCCACCTCAGGAAGAAGCACGCCAAGACGTCCAGGAAGGACATCGAGAAGAACATCAAGTACGTCACCTTCTCCTCCCCGTCCATCACCGCCGCTCCCCCCGGCACCACGCCGGAGGCGGAGACGGCCTGCGAAACCACCTGCCGCTTCTGTGGCGAGGACCTGAAGACGTACCGCGCGCTGCAGATCCACCTGCGCACGCACAACGGCTGTCAGAGGAAGCCCTTTGAGTGCCGCCGCTGCGGCGCTGCCTTCCTGGCCAAGCGGAACTGCATCCACCACCTGCTGAAGCAGCACCCGGAGGTCCAGGAGCGCGAGATCGAAGGTCACATCACCACGCTCCTGCCCGCCGCCGCCGGCACGGCCCTGAATCCAGCGGCGCTGAACGGGATCAGTCAGCCCGCCGTGCTCCTGCAGGTGAAGGCGGAGGAGATGGCTTACGCCGTAGAACTGGACCAGCCGCTGGACTTCTCTGCCAAGGGGCGGGGCAGCCAGACGGCGTCTCCCGTAATCAAAACGGAGAACTCCTCCCACGGCTTTGACTGCTCCGACTCGGACCAGCCCATCGACCTGTCCATCCCCAGCAAGCGGCAGCGCCGGGAGGCGGACGGCGGTGCGGAGAGGGAAATGAAGACGGAGCAGAATGCCGCCATGGAGCCGCAGCACCAGCTCGCCGTGGCGACCGAGGAGAAGACGGCCCTCCTTCCTCTGCAGCCTCCTCACCTGCTGAGCGGCTACCAGCTTCCCGCTGGAGCCACGCCTCCCTCCGCCAGCCGAGCTCAGCGCCTCAAGCCGCTGCTGCCCAAACCCGCCCCCGCCACCTCCTCCCCCCCCTCTGTGAAGGATCTGGCGCCGCTCGCCTCCATCGCTCAGATCATCCGCTCCGTCTCTGCAGCTCAGGGCATGCTGGACGGAAACTCCTCATCCTCGCAGGCCGACCCCGACGCCTCGCCGTCCTCCGCCATCCTGGATGCTCCGGGTGACGATGCGTCTGACAGAACCTCCAGGTACTCCTCCTTCACCTCCTCCCCTCCTCCCTTGGCGGCGCAGGATCTGATGTGTTCTCTCCTCGCAGACGGCGGTCCAGGAAGAAGCCGGCGGCTCTGGCAGCGAAGGAGAAGGTCGCTGCCGGCGGGATCGACCTGGAATCCAGCGGAGAGTTTGCCAGCGTGGAGAAGATGCTCGCCACGACCGACGCCAACAAGTTCAGCACCTATCTGCAGACCGGAACCGCAGAGCTGACGGCGAAGAAAGGTGAGATGGCGCCCGGAAAGGCGGCGGTGGAAACCGATCTCAGATTAACTCAGACTCCTTCCTCTGAACAGATGTGGAGCGAGCCGCAGCTTCCGGAGGAGGGGAGGAGAACGAGGGGAGGGGCGGCGAGGAGGCCAAGCCCGCCGGGGCTGTGGCGGCCATGACGGTACCACAGACCAAAGGGAAGAAGAACGCCTACTCCAACTCGGTGCAGAAGATGACCTGCCCCTTTTGCCCGCGGGTCTTCCCCTGGATGAGCTCGCTGCAGAGACACATGCTGACTCACACAGGTAGGAGGGAACACCTGAGGCCGGGGGGCGGGGCCTACAGGGCTGCTTCAGATCACACAACTACAGAGGTTTCATCTATAAACCGGTTTGATCCAGTGGATAAAACAGATCAGAATCTGGCGTCCCGTTATTGTCAGTAATTCCTCCCGATCAAGCATAAGGCGACAGTGGGAGGCGGCACCACCAGCAGAGGGAGAAACGGTTATAAGATCTAAACCAGATGGTTGGTTGATTAGTTATCTGGTTAATTGGTTGATTAGATCTCTCTCTAGTAGCAGGCAGAGGGCAGCAGACTGAGGTTGTGTCAAACATCCAGCCTGACCTTTGACCTCTGACCCCTCCATCACTACATAGTGGACTCTATAGTGAACTTGGTTAAATCACCGTTCAGATAGATCACCACTACTTTTCACTCCCCGTTGGTCATGAGACTCCGCCTCCTCGCACTGTGCCTTCGCCATCTTTGTTCTCCTCACCCATGATCCTTTGCAAGAGAGCTCTTGCAAAGCATTCTGGGATATATCTGTGACGGGAAATTGTGAGTCCACTACGTTTTAATCATTTAGACGTTCTGACATTCATAGAAAATGGCGTAACTACTGCAGTGCCCTATGGAGGGGTTGGGGTGGGCGTGCAGACAGCCTGGCTGTTTATTAATTCACTAGAACGTGAGTACGGACTCGTGTTCTCGCCAAGTCCGTTCTTGACTAGAACCCAAGAAAGTCTGGACTCTGGGAGAACGGGAAGAAGCGTACTGATGATGTCACCACATTCAAAGCTAGTCTGTTATTAATAGTCTCTACATAATAATAAATAACTTATTATTAAATTATTGACTTTTTTTCATTTATTGGGGGAATAATAATGAACACAGTCAGATAAACACGAATAAAATGAACATTTTGCTAAATAAAACAAAAAAATCGCCATCATAGCCAGCTGTACTTCACACACGGCTATGCAGAGAGAGGGCTACTAGAGACGGGCTAACGTTAGCCGTGGCTGGCTGCTGCAGACGGGCTAACGTTGGCCGTGGCTTGCTGCTGCAGACGGGCTAACGTTAGCCTTGGCTGGCTGCTGCAGACGGGCTAACGTTAGCCTTGGCTGGCTGCTGCAGACGGGCTAACGTTGGCCGTGGCTGGCTGCTGCAGACGGGCTAACGTTAGCCCTGGCCGGCTGCTGCAGACGGGCTAACGTTAGCCCTGGCCGGCTGCTGCAGACGGGCTAACGTTAGCCCTGGCCGGCTGCTGCAGACGGGCTAACGTTAGCCCTGGCCGGCTGCTGCAGACGGGCTAACGTTAGCCCTGGCCGGCTGCTGCAGACGGGCTAACGTTAGCCCTGGCCGGCTGCTGCAGACGGGCTAACGTTAGCCCTGGCCGGCTGCTGCAGACGGGCTAACATTAGCCCTGGCCGGCTGCTGCAGACGGGCTAACATTAGCCCTGGCCGGCTGCTGCAGACGGGCTAACATTAGCCCTGGCCGGCTGCTGCAGACGGGCTAACATTAGCCCTGGCCGGCTGCTGCAGACGGGCTAACATTAGCCCTGGCCGGCTGCTGCAGACGGGCTAACATTAGCCCTGGCCGGCTGCTGCAGACGGGCTAACGTTAGCCCTGGCCGGCTGCTGCAGACGGGCTAACGTTAGCCCTGGCCGGCTGCTGCAGACGGGCTAACGTTAGCCGTGGCCGGCTGCTGCAGACGGGCTAACGTTAGCCCTGGCTGGCTGCTGCAGACGGGCTAACGTTAGCCCTGGCTGGCTGCTGCAGACGGGCTAACGTTAGCCCTGGCTGGCTGCTGCAGACGGGCTAACGTTAGCTCTGGCTGGCTGCTGCAGACGGGCTAACGGACTTTGTCCGTTCTGTCTGTTGTGTTGCGAAATGGAACAGTGATGAGGTTTCACAAGAACGCACGAGTAGCCAGACTGAGAGAGATCCCGTGCGTCTCAGTGAGGAAAGGAGCGACTGAACGATAAACTCAGACTAGAAATGAGAGCTTCTAGAAAGCTAGAATGGAAGCGTTCTCCTCTGGGCCGTAGATCCGCGTCAGCAGCGCCCTCTCTGACTTCGCACGGGTCAGAACCACTAACCGAGGCGTTCCTCCATCTCCTCCAGGCCAGAAGCCGTTTCCATGCCCCCGCTGCGACGCCTTCTTCTCCACCAAGTCCAACTGTGAGCGCCACCTTCTGCGCAAACACGGCGTGACCCACAGGACGCTGCGACGCAACGGCGCCATCGTGAACGACGGCTCACACGAGAGCGCCGGTCAGACTGCTTCTCACCGAGTCTGGTATCGACCCCCGCGGGGGTCCGCTCTCCCTCAGGCTGACGGTTCCTTTGTGTTCTGCAGAGAGCCAGTCTGAGACGGAGCAACCGGCGCCGGAACCCAGGGACCTCATCACCACAGAACCAGGCCCGCCATCCACCGTTAACAGCCCCGCCCCTCCTGAGATCACCCAGCTGAGCCCCGCCCCCAAAGCAAGCCAAGGTCAGCCAATGATAACGCTTCAATCAGTTGGTTTTCCTTTGAACTCAGCAGGCTGACTCCAGACTGATCCTCCCACAGGTTCCAGTCCAGCTGCAGAGCAGGAAGCAGAAACCACTGAGCAGGCTGAGCAGCAGGGGGCGCCAGAGAGCAGAGCAGCAGAAGGAAAGCAGCCACTGAGCAGCAAGGTAAACATTCCCGCCTGTAAGACAGGATTCAGGGCTAACAGGCTGGAGATTTGCTCTTTTTTTCACGTAGTTTCTGTTTTTAAATGCGATTTCTGATGCTGAGGATCGTTTCCACCTTCAGGCCGACGTCACCGACGACGACGACTGTCACAGCAACAAGAGCCTCGACCTGAACTTTGGCAAGAAGCTCATCGACTTCAAGCTCTCTTCGTCTTCCGCTAGCTCTGCTCCTCCTCAGGAGGCGCCGCCCTCCTCCTCCCCCTCCTCTGCTCCCCGGGAAGCAGCGGAAATCTCCGAAGACCAGGAGGGAAGCAGCAGCCCGGCAGCCAAGCCCGACCAGAAACACGCCTGTCAGGTCTGCGCCAAGAGCTTCCGCTACGCCGCCACCCTTGCTCGCCACGAGAGGGCGCACCTCTGCGAGGAGACGCAGGCAAAGACTGAGGAGGAGGCACCTCCTGCCGCGAAGGTGGTGGTGGAGGAGGAGGAGGAGGGGATGGAGGGCAAAGCTGCCGAGCTGGAGGCAGAAGAGAAGGAGGCGGAGGAAGACGAGAGCGACGGAGGGGAGAGCGGCGAGTCGGAGAAGGAGGAGAGGAGCGACGAGGAGGCGTCGGAACCAAAGAGCGCGGAGGGAGGGGAGGCGGCGGCGGGCGGACGGGTGGACAAGAGGAAGAAGATCTGCACCGAGTGCGGGAAAAGATTCTGGTCCCTGCAGGACCTGACCCGCCACATGAGGTCCCACACAGGTAGAGACGGAGGCTCCGCCCACTGGCGGCTTCTGATTGGTCACAGGAAGATAGAGCCGTAGCTAGACTCTTTATTTAACGAAGGGCTCAGTGGGGCAACGGGTGAGCTGAGTGTCTGGTTGTCATGGTAACCGCTCAGCATCTCCATTGTCCAACCGAGCTGCCAGTGAGGGACGATTCCCGACTGATCAGCTGGTTTTACGATGAGCTCAGCGACGTCGTCACTAAAGATCAATCAGATTATTAAGAAATCCAGATCAGATGAATCAGGAATAGAAGATCGCCGCTAATCTGACGGTTTGTCGTCTCTCTGTCCCCCAGGGGAGCGGCCCTACAAGTGCCAGACCTGCGAGCGCACCTTCACCCTGAAGCACAGCCTGGTCCGCCACCAGAGGATCCACCTGAGGCCCCGCGGCGCCAGCGATGACGTCAGCGAGGACGGCGACTCCCGCGCCCCCACCCCGACCTCCACCTGCCCGCCGTCGGAGAACGAGAGCGAGTGCGGGAGCGGCGGCGCCGGAGCCAAGGAGCTGGAGGAGGAGGGCGAGTTTCAGAGGGAAGATTGGGCGGAGGGGGGCGGTTCTGATCCGGCACGGCCCGCCGCCGCAGAGGAACCGGACAACGACAACGCCGCGCGGCAGGAGCCCTCCGCGGAAATTCCCCGAGCTACTGAATCAAAGACGACGACAAGCACCGACTCCTCCGCAACACCTGACGGCGCCAAAGATCGTTCCGGCTCTCCCCCAGGGGGCGCCGCTGCGGCCCCCGCTGAAGGCTTCATCCACGGCCTGCTGGAGATCCACACCAAGCCCCCCCTGGAGCACCTCCTCCCTAACGGGGAGCCTCCGATGGTGGGCGTAGACTGAAGCCCCGCCCCCGCCGCAGTGCCATACCACAGAAGGACGTCCCCCCCACCCCACATCGACGAAGAAGCCAGCCCCCCCCTCCCTGAGACGGGGGCCTCGTTTTCTTGAAGTGCCTTACTACTAGTCCGACTTCTAAAGACGTCATTTTGCTAAATCTTTATCCGCGTCGTAACGGAGGACGGATCGGAACTTTTAGAGCTTTTTATGACACTGATTAACTATTTTGGTTTCGGGGGAAATCTCTAATTCAGCAATAAAAACATTGAATGATTACGATTTATTGTTCTAGGTTTTTGTTTTGAGAATCGATGATCAACGCAGGAGACGCCGACGGACCGAAGCTGAGGGTGGGGCGTCCACATCCTTCTGCGTCGTGGCCGGAGCTGGACCATTCAACCTTTTTTTTTTTTTTTGGGGGGGGTGATTCCGGGTCAAACCGGTCAGAGAGACGGACTCTTGTGGTTCCGGTTTGATTCGGAGAAGCGAACACTGACTGAGGAAATGGTAACTGGAAAATAAAAAACGCCGCTGGCTTCCTCTGCGGACTCACGGAAACTTCCTGAACCAATCAGAGTCGTTCTCCTCTGTTTTTTTTAAACCCATCACACTATTGGTCCCTCCCCATTGGTTGCTCATCATCCCTCTGTTGATTCCATGTTTCGTAGAGAGGTCGGCCCACGCCGCGCGACGTGTCGCCGACCACGACGAGGGATTTCCTTTTTTAACTGAACAAATCAAATGTTGTTGTTTTTTTTAGTTGTGTGAATGTGAGCGTGTCTCCAGGCTGCCCCCCCTCATCGTCGCCCCCTATTGTTTGCTTTAGGGATCCTTACAGGGCCCCCGGCGTGCTAACGCGTAGCAGCACTAACACCTGTTCCAGGTTCAGTTTACCTCAACTTTCGCTTCTAACTGAAACTGCTAACGCAGGTCTGGATGTAGCCCTTTAAAATCCAGCGTCTTCCTCCGGCTAACGCGGTCAGACCGCAGCCCGCCGGCTTCCCGCCGGCTTCCCGCCGGCTTCCCGCCTCGGGGCCAAATTGAAGCCAACGAGCGCCGACTCGTCAGTGTAGCCACGGCGACGTCACAGGTGTTTTCTGAGAGGCAGCTAAGGAAGGATAGCTGACATGGACAAGCTGCGCGACTTTTTTAAAGCTAGCTCACTGCCTTCTGATCTGCGCGGCGCAGAAAACCAGGCAGGTGGAGTAATTAGCTAACGAGACAATCAGACCGCGGGCTCAGCTCTAGCTAGGCTTAGTGCGTTTACCCCCCCGTACAGTATTACGTCCCTCTGTTTGTCCACGTTGGACAAGAGTCCATCGTCTCCTCCTCGTCTTGACGCTTATTTTCCTTCGGAAACGTCTGAACTTAGCAGCTAAACCCGACCCAACGCTTTGAGTGTTTTAGCTGAGCATTAGCGACAATCAATTTTAATTTTCTGTTTCCAGAGGCCGCCATGTGACGCCATGAGAGACGGATGGACGGATGAATTCATAAACCTGCTGCACATTTTTAAAAACAAAAAATCAAGTTAAAGGGCTAAATGTTGGAAGAACCGGGGCGGGTTCTTCGTTCCGACTCCACAGTCTCCTGCGATGACGAGGCGTGTAGAAAACTTTTTTTTAATTTTTGAATATTAGACCTCATTAGCATATCGAGCCTCAGCGGCTTCTGACGGAACTGTAAGGCAGGGATGGTCGGTCGTTTAGCGGGTTTATCAGAAACAAACCAAGTTACGACGGAACCAGAACCGCTCCGATTGGCTCATCGCTGCCCTGAACTGGCACTAACGTTTCCCAACCTACGACTAGCACCTCTTCTGTTCGTACTACTAACCGGTCAGCGGAGAAAGGCTCGCCGTCTTTAGGGGCCTCTGGGACGAACCACTGGACACTTTATTAATTAAAAACATCCAAAACTTTAAATTATTTAAAGTAGAAAAGCTTAGCTGTAACTTTTTTTTTACCTCTTACTAGCAATAACTGGCAAGCTAGCTACTATAAGCTATTTAAGCTAATTAGCTTTTTTTCTTTTTATGCTATCATTGCAAAATTTGAATAAAATTATTTTTGCAGATAAATTGTTTTTGTAATTTTAACATGGTAAAAAGCCTAGCTTAAAATAAACTGGTTTCCTAAATGGGTTTTAAAGTCGAGATGCTACTCAGCTAACAGGCTAGCGATGCTTCCGTTTAGATTTCAGCAATAATCAAACAAAATAGAAATTTAGTTTTCTACTCATTACTCTTTAATGTTAAGTGTGAAATATAAATTTATTGGAATTCGCTTCCATAAATAAGCGACTTGAATGATGCTAATAGTTGCTAAAAATGAAAAGGAGTCTTTACTGGCTAATGGCTCCTTTTCTGTGTCCTCAGTCGTCTCCTAATCAAACGTTTTCTTGAGGATCTGTTGTATGCGTCATTATTTAGCTAATTATTTCAGATAGTTTGAAGCTAAAATATGTCAAAACCGTGACCAAGTTATGCTAGCTAAGCATTTATGCCTGTTCCAGAATCAATAAACCCTAGCGTATCATATTATTATAATAAAGTGAATATGCTACATGGCTAACAGGCTAACTGTAGTTCATTATTAGTTATCAACATTTGTCAGAACTTTACTTTTTTCTAGAGATTTAGCAAATAATGAGGGGCTAATTAGCATAAACCAGCTAACATAGCGCTAATGGTAATATTCGGTTAATGTTTGAACCTGAATTTATGGTAAATTTAAATCCGACATTTGAATTTACTTTCCTGTTTTCTTCCGATTTTAAGACTCTAAACAGTAAAAAAAAAAGTTTGCGCTTGCAGCGTAGCTAAGCTGGCGGCCATGTTTGGCTCTTGCATTCAGTGCGGTCTGGAGGCCAGTGGGGGCGCCGTCCCTTTCTCTCCTGGCTCCGTGTTGGCGTCCTCTCTGCGGGGGGGCGTCTGTCCGTCTGCGTGAGGCCTTATGAATACTGGACTTCCATTCGAATGCACATGGACTGTTTTTAACGTATTTATTCGGAGCCCAGGCGTGTTTCGGTGTGAGTGAATTTCTGCAATGACTTGAGAAGAAGCCATGTATTAAAAATGTCACATTTATGCTGCAGAACTGTTGTGCGGAACCTGGTGGGTTTTTTTTTTTTTTGGACCGGCCAGCTGGCCCCTGGGGGCCCGGCGGGTCCACGAGGGACTCGGACTAGCAATAAGAATCCTTCTGAATCCAAAAGCTTTATGTAGAGTTTTCTTGTATGTGAGTCGAGAACAGTCTGTCTGGGTTTATTGGTTATTTTTAGTTTTCTTCTATGACATAAATGCATATTAAACTGTGAAAATCTATTGTGATTAATTAAAGGGTGAGTTTTAGATTAGTTATTTCTTTTTTTTTTTGCATGTTAATCTTAATTTTTTTCCAATTATGGATGATTTCTTCTTTCTGCATCACTTCTTGTGCTACAAACGCATTTATAAATATCAAAATATATATAATCTCGCTCTCAGGGTCTTTCACAAATCCATTATTTGAAAAGCTTCATGTTGTTTTTTTTCTCCCGAGTCGCAGCTTTTCCACATTACTTTGTTTTTTTTAAAGATGACATCATGATTCAGATCTGTCAATCACTACATTTAGCACTTGACTGTGAACTCGTCGCTACCCGACACGGAAAATGTGGTTCGATTTTATTTGTTTTGGTCTCCAAACTCTCAGTCAGACATCTGATTTGAAGCCTTTTTCTGTTTTTCGTAGAATCTTATTTAATGAGTTTCTCTTTGTGTACTGGACCTCAATCACAGAGCATTAAAACAGTCGTCTGGATCGATTTCTGTCCCCTGCTGTTGGCAAACATGACAGTGTTTCAGAGATGTACACCTCTGTATTCAAACTCAATAAGTAAAAGCAATAAAGATTATGTAAAGGAAAGGTTTGTCAATCAACATGGATCATACTTCTGTCTTCTTTGATCTTCTCCACCCTGACATTGAAATGTTCAACGCTTAGAGATTCCCTCTAATCCAGAATCATCAGCCGAGGATTTACAGCCTTTATGCTACGGTGGCCTGAGGGGTGCAAACGTGATGCAAATACACTAGAAAACAAAAACAGAAGAAAATCCTGCAAGTAGCAAAAACAAATGCATTTTAAGGCAAGGCTAAGCATTAGCTTCATTTGAGGTATGCATTGATGCTAAGTGTTAGCTTCATTTGAAACATGCACCAATGCTAAGTGTTAGCTTCATTTTAAACATGCATTGATGCTAAGTGTTAGCTTCATTTTAAACATGCATTGATGCTAAGTGTTAGCTTCATTTGAGACATGCATCAATGCTAAGTGTTAGCTTCATTTTAAACATGCATTGATGCTAAGTGTTAGCTTCATTTGAGACATGCATCAATGCTAAGTGTTAGCTTCATTTGAGACATGCATCAATGCTAAGCATTAGCTTCATTTATGACATGCACCAGTGCTAAGTGTTAGCCTCATTTGAGACATGCACCAATGCTAAGCATTAGCTTCATTTATGACATGCACCAATGCTAAGCATTAGCTTCATTTGAGGTATGCATTGATGCTAAGTGTTAGCTTCATTTGAAACATGCACCAATGCTAAGTGTTAGCTTCATTTTAAACATGCATTGATGCTAAGTGTTAGCTTCATTTGAGACATGCATCAATGCTAAGTGTTAGCTTCATTTGAGACATGCATCAATGCTAAGCATTAGCTTCATTTATGACATGCACCAGTGCTAAGTGTTAGCCTTATTTGAGACATGCACCAATGCTAAGCATTAGCTTCATTTATTACATGCACCAATGCTAAGCATTAGCTTCATTTATGACATGCACCAATGCTAAGCATTAGCTTCATTTATGATATGCACCAGTGCTAAGTGTTAGCCTCATTTGAGACATGCAGCGATGCTAAGCGTTAGCTTCCTTTGAGACATGATGCTAAGCGTTAGCTGAAGAGGATCAAATAAGTCATTGGTAGTTGACTTTTGGCCAATTGTGTCAAATTAGTTCCTTGGTTCACGAGGCTTTGAAATTGCTATCAATATGTTTTAGCTCCTTCCTAACTTCCTGTAA